TGGAGAAGGCGGTGGTGGGCTGGGTGGTGGTGGAGAGGGAGGCGGCGGGCTGGGTGGTGGTGGGCTCGGCGGCGGTGGGCTTGGAGGAGGTGGTGAGGGAGGAGGTGGTGAGGGAGGAGGTGGAGAAGGAGGAGGTGGAGATGGCGGTGGTGGGCTGGGTGGTGGTGGAGAGGGAGGGGGCGGGCTCGGCGGCGGCGGGCTGGGTGGTGGTGGGCTCGGCGGCGGTGGGCTTGGAGGAGGTGGTGCTCCCAATGTCACCGGCGTCACAGGTGCACGCGGAAGCCCAGCACTCAAGTCTGCCTGCCACTATCGACTGCCGTAACTCTGCACATGCTGACCTTGGTGTTAGGTTTCAACCCCGTGAATATGCCCACACTGGTGGTGCTACTGAACGCCAGAGGTTCGCAGCTGGGGCATGCCACTTCTTGCAGCGTGAAGATGTACTGCACAAGCGCAGCAGTAACATCAACAGCTGAGCAGCATGTGTGAAATGCACTGCCAGACTGGTTCACCCAGCCACACTCCAGCCCCCCCACCACACACAGACAAAAGTGCCCACCTTCACAAATGCGCCCGCTGGCTGTGGTTGTGCAGTGGCTGTGCCGCTGGTGGGCGAGGTGGCATGAGCAGAAATCAGCATCAGGCTCTTGGGGGCCACAGGTGGAGGTGAGGGTGGCGCACGAAGGAATGCGCCTGCCGGTGTCTTGAAGTGCAGTGCATTGCTGCCCGGCGTCCTCCGGCCCGTCTTGTCCATGCCGACAACTGTCACTTGGTACTGCAGCAGTAACCGGGGAATTAAGCAGACAAGCAAGTGGATGTGGAAGCATGAGGGAGGGGTGCATTACACAGATTCGACGCGTGGCACTGCCTGCCTGGATGGCAGCACATTTGGTGCCACGCCAGAACTGCTTACCGTGGTGTTGGGTGTCAGCCCCGAGAATACACCCAGGGTGGTGTTGCTGGTGAAGTGCAGCGCAGGACAGCTGGGGCAAGCCGCTTTCTTCACCGTGAAGATGAACTGCACAAGGGACGGCCACACCAGGCGATGAGGGCTGTATAGGGAGTGGGAGGGCAGGTGCACACTGTTGAGCAGCAAGCCCTGCGCCCCTGCCTGCAAACTACCTGGGCAAAATAGCCTGCTGGCTTCTCGGACACTCTTGCCATGCCCCTGGTTGGGTTGAGGCCGCGCGCTTCTGTCAAGTTCAATCCTGGAGCAGGAGTCGGACGTGGTGGAGGGCACTGGGCATCCAGCGTCTTGAACTGCAACATGTTGATGCCCTGCGTCTTGCGCCCGCTCTTGTCCATGCCAGCCACCGTCACATTGTACTGCAACAAAACAAGTGGCGGGAGCGTGCAGCGGATGCGCAAGTGGATGTGGCGCGAAGAGGGAGGGGCAGCATGTGCCCTGCTGGCATGTGGCTGGCACCATAACGTGGCTTCTTGCAAGCGAACAGGCAGCAGCACAATCATTCTGGCACTCACTGTGGTTTTAGGTGACAAGCCAGAGAGTATGCCCAGTGTGGTGCTGCTGTTGAACAGCAAGGCCGGACAGAGAGGGCACGCTGCTTGCCTGACCGTGAAGATGTACTGCAGGACAACACAAACAGTCGTGCTGAGCCCCCCTTGTGGCCGCGTGAGCCGTTGGCCGCGGCTAAGAAAGGCCTTCTTTGAAGGCGCTGGAGCTAGTGTCTAAACCCTCCGAGAGGGCACAGGTTCGATTCCTCTCATGTCGAAACTTTGTGAGGACAAACGCGGCATAGCTGACCGGCTCAGCGCCAATCCAAGCCAATTCCTTCGGGAACGCCTAATAGAATCGCCAAGGCTTCGGCACAGGCCTCCCCGGGACCCATTCACTACTAGTGGGGGGTACTGCACTTGGCGCGTCGGGCAGATCAAATAATGGTCTAAAGCTAGACGTTAAAACCGGGAAGTTAAGCTTGTGGAGGCTCTTCCCCACCTTTACCTTTTACCCTAGACACTGTATCGTGTTTGCTTGGTACCATGAGGCAATCACTTGCGGCGCCACAGCGCACCTTCACAAAGGCGCCAGGTGGCTGTGGGGACGCAGTAGCAATGGCGGTGGTCGGAGTGGTGGCCCTAGCAGACGTCAGTTTCAGGGTGGGGGTGGGAGGAGGGGGTGGGGCAGACTTGGTCGGCGTCTTAAACTGCAGACTGTTGCTGCCCTGCGTGCGCCGGCCACTCCAGTCCACGCCCGCCACGGTCACAGCGTACTGCAGCAGGCGAGGAGATGCAGGTGGTCAGGGAAGAGAGGGTGGCAGTGGTCGCACAGAATTGAGAACAGGAATGGTCAGGTGGGGTCGAGCGCTGATGGTATGCTTTTCTTCCTCCATCTGTCACACTGGCTAGCTGCCCTCTGCTGCAGCCCATCTGCTCACCGCCGTGTTGGGCGCCAAGCCTGTGAAGGTACCCATTCGTGTGCTGCTATTGAACTCCAGCTTTGGACAGCCGGGGCACAATGCTTTCTTCACCGTGAACATGTACTGCAGCAAACAGCACAGCCGCCCATTTGCTGACTGGTATCTGATCCACTCCGACAGAAAGCCGCACAGGCGCTGTGGCCCCACAACAGAGGTGGCCTGCTTGCCTTGGTGAAGTAGCCTGGCGGCAGTGCAGTGGCGTTGGCAGTGCCGCTAGTCGGTCCCAATGCCTTGGCAGACGTCAGGCGCAGGGAAGGTGCTACTGTCGTGAGCTGCATCATGTTGGCCCCTTTGGTGCGCTGCCCTGTCTTGGTCACGCCCAGTACAGTCACATTGTACTGCACATAGAAAGCGCAGGCAAAGCGATGCAGGTCAGCACATCTGGAGCTGGCCGCTGCCTGTCTCACGCTCTGCAGCTCAAGAGGAAACGCACGCCACCCTTCACATATCACACAAAATGGCAGGCCCTCCAACCAAACACTGACCTTGGTTCCGGGCTCCAGCCCAGTCAGCTGATTGCTGGGTGCCCTGCTTGTAAAGGCCAGCGTTGGGCATGGCGGCACGGTGCACCTGGCTTTTGTCACGGTGAACACGAACTGCAGGCAGGACGCAAACCAACAGTGCTTGTCAACTGTTCTGTCTCCTCGCGAGCCATGCGAAGCACATAGCCACGCTGACCCTCTGCACACACCTTGGTGAAGGCATCGCTGGGCAGGGCGCGGGCGGTGGCGGCGCCGGTTGTGTATCCTGTGGCCTTGGCTTGGGTGAGACGAAGCCCCGCAGGCATGGTCAGCTGCAGCATGTTGTCCCCTGGGGTCCGCTGCCCAGTCTTGCTGATGCCCTCCACGGTGACATTGTACTGCACAAAATGCGGTGAAGGCGGGTTCGCAGCGCCAGTGTGGAAAGAGGCAAGTGTGGGATGCCACAGCCAGGCTTCAGCCAGGCTGGAACGGGACACAAAGGGCACGTGGCCTACCGTGGCCCCAGGCTCTAGCCCATGTAGATTGACCGTGGCGGTGCTGCTAGGGAAGTTGAGGGACTTGCATGTAATGCAACCCAATTTCCTCAAAGAGTACATGTACTGCAGCAGGGAAGGGGGGATATGTTGGTTGGGCAAACCTGCCGCCAGCACGAGACCACCTGCGAAGTGTTGTCGGTCGGTTTGCAAAACCAGGCAGATTAGGTGGTGGAACACGACACAGCATTATTGCACCCATGGGGCAGCCGCCAACAATGCATACCCTTGGCAGCGCACCTGAGGGAAGGCTCCTGCCGGCTGTGTGGTGGCAGTGGCAGTGGCGGTGGTGGAGCTGGTGGCTTGTGCCGACTCCAGGTGTACGCTGGCTGGCGTGGTGAACTGCAGCGTGTTCTGCCCTGCTGTCCGCTGCCCCGTGTTGCTGATGCCCTCCACGGTGACATTGTACTGCAGTTCACATGGAATGCGGGTGACGGGTTCAGCAATGGAGCATCAATGCACACAAGAGGTGAAGCAGGGAGGTGCATTGCAACGTTCCGCCACCGCCACGTTGGCAGGGCACAGAGGCAATTGCAACACAGGTGGAGTCAACCTGATCCACACACCAAGGCGCCAGGCTCTAGGCCAGAAAAAGTAGCAGCAGGAGTCCGGCTTGGAAAGGTCAAGGCAGGGCAGGATTGCATCGGGCAGCTTGCTATCCGCACAGTGAACACGTACTGCAGGCACGCATAAGGAAGGCCGCCAAGCTTTGTGTAGCCTGGGTAGCGCGGAGAATCAGCCTGCTGCCACCACTAGCATGTGCCCAGAGGACCACCATCCAGCACCAATGCATGGCACATGGAGGAGCACCAGTGTCCCTGTGGCCTGTTGCACTCACCTTGGAGAAGGCGCCAGCTGGGGCAGTTGCGGTTGCTGCGCCAGTGGTTGGCCCTGTTGCTGTTGCCGAGGTCAGCATGAAGCCAGCAGGAGTAGTGAATTGCACCCTGGCCTGCGTGCCGAGGCCTTCAGTCCTCTCACCATTCTGGCTGATCCCCATGACAGTCACCTTGTACTGCACTTGTAGTAGGAGCAGCGCTGCAGCGCCGGCGCCGGCGACGGCGCCGACGGCGCGGCGTGCATGCTATGCTGTTTAGCCCCTTTTGCTGGTGTTTCCGCCTGCCCCTGGGCCTTTCTGCTGGGGTGCAGGCGCCGCTGTAAGCACGCTTATACCTTAGCAGAGAGAGCCATAGTCAGATAGAGCGATCAGCGGGATAGCGGAGGCTAGTCCTGCTACAGCACTCATGTTTTTCAACAAGTGCCGAGTGGGTGAGTCCCAGCATGCAGGCAGTCTGCCTGGTGCTGGTCATTGTGGTAGCGGCACCAACACCAGCATGCACGTGCAACATGGGGCATGCTGGCCAGTCGATGGCTGCACAGCCAGCCTGCACATGTCCGCCCCAAGCACTCACCGTTGTGCCAGGAGACAGGCCAGAGAAGTAGGCATCAGCCGTGGCAAAGGTGAAGGTCAGGGTTGGACAGCTCTTCCCCGGCGCACAGTTGACTGGCTGCAGCTTATACTCATACTGCAGGGAAGACGACATCCAGCAGCAAGCCAGAGGGCAGGCAGGCATCTCAGCCACAGCAGGCAGGAAGGTTCCAGGCAACCGGTGTCCCAGCCGCCGGTTGCATGGCAAACAGCAGCGCATCTACAACAGTTCTGTGCCAGTCCCTGACTGGCTGGCATGGCAGCGCATCCAGCTCAAACATCCACCATTCTGCCAGTCGCACCTTGGCAAATGCGTTGCCTGGGATGGGGGTCGCTGACGGCGGCAGCGTCCAGCAGCAGGTGCCTTGCAGTCACCATGCCGCGCTGCTGGCCGGTGGCGGCAGCACCCTCCGCAAAGAATGCGGGGGTCTTGCTGCCGGCACCAAAGACTGTGCCATTAAGAGGGTAATTTGAGGGGACCTTTCGGCCTGCCAGATCCATCGCCGCCCCCTGCTGGCTGCCAGGATACGCACTGGAAGTCACCACCCGGCAGCCGCTGGAGACATGCATGGCGCTGACCACACTGGTCACCACGTCACCTGCGGGGGCACAGGCGGCAGCAGGTTTTCGTGTCCAGAGTGAGCGGCTGGGCTGCCTAGTTCTCAGCGCTGCTGCTGGCACTGCTGTGCCACACAGCCTTGCACACAGACGACTCTCCAGACACCGGCTCACTTGGAAGCTTGGTTTTCAATGCGGCTAAGTAGGCCGTGACTAACTGGCGAGTGCAGCTGGGTGCATACACATTGATGCCAGCCAGCGTAAGCGTCGTGTGCACTACAGATGGGTGAAAGGAGGGGCACGTCAGACCCACCTATGTACCCCCCAGACAGGTGCGGGCCGAATCCACCCCCCTGCCTGCTATGCAGGTAGTGCCACCAATGCACCAGCCTACCCCTGACATAGCTGGCAGCTGGCAGGTTCTTTAGTGAAGGCCAGATCCCCACTACTGCTAAGCCCCCCACACATGTGTGCCCGCGCACCATCGCAAGGCGACACAAAACTGCTGTCTGGGACCCAGCGGACCGCATAGCCGTCATCAGAGGCCATCTGGCCAAACTGCAGCGCACCAGGGGTCAGGGGCACATGTGCCAACAAGGGAGGGAGGTGGTGCGATCAAGGCAGGGGGCTGCATGTCCACAACAAGCTTGCCTGTGGCACGGGCCACACGCTGGCTGGGCGGGTCCTCATCGTGTTCAGCGCCTTTGCCAGTGCGGTGGGGGCGGCGTTGCTCATAAGCGTGTCCATGGCGAGCTTTTGCAGCGCGGCTGCATGGGGTAGGGCGGGTGCGGCACGCGGTGGTCCAGGAGCGGATTGAAAAGCCGGAAGCAGCCCAGCATTGGCACCAGTATTGTCCCCCCTCCCACCCCTGCCGCCCCGGGGCCCCAAAGATCTGCGCTCAGCAACAGCCCTGGCAGCAAGGGACCCACGACTGCCTCCGGCGCCCGTCCAATTGCCGTCATCGATGTGAGTCTTGTACATCACTTCTGAGCCTACATGAGGGCTCGCACGGCGGCAGCACAAACAAGCTGGTTTGCAAGGCAGCATGAACGCACCAAACATACGAGCAGCAAAGCCGGCACCGTCTGCCAGGCACACTCATTGGCATCGGATCATTGCGGCGGCCCTCCCCATGATGACGAGGCATCCGCCTGCGCACCCGGCACCAGCTTCTGGATAGCCGCCACATACGCCTTCCGCTTCTGGGCTGTGACCTGGTCGGGGGCCAGGTCGTACCACTTGACTGTGATCATGGCTACTGGGCGGCTGCCGGGCAGCGACGGGATGGTGTCGCCGGTGCTGTCAGCCTGCAGCCATGGGGTGGTGCAGCTCAGGTGGCAGCTGCATACAGCCCTGCCTGCTTGCCAGCCTGGCCGCCTTCCCGAGTGCTGCCTGCCGCCAGCCCCTGCCCGCCTGCTGCCGCCTCCGGCCTGCCAGCCCCCACAGCGCACCAGGTAGGGATCTGCAACGACCTCGGCGTGCACCCGCCTAAACTTGCGCTGGTCAAAGTAGGCGTTCAGCCCGCCGGCGCGTAGCTTGGCCGCCAGCTGCTGCGCCGCCACCGTGCCCGCCGCCACCGAGCCCGGGAACAGCGCCACCGTGTGGATCGACTGCCCCGTGTCATCCGGTTCAATGGCCACAGGTATGATGGTGGAGCCTGCAGCTGGCGGGGCAAGCTCAGCCAGGATGCAGGCAGCCAGGCAGTTCACATGCATGCGTCGCCTGCCAGCCGTGTGCCGCAACCGCGACGCAGCAGCGGCTGCATGCAAGCACCTGGGGCCATGCGCATCAGCGTGTTCTTGTATGACACCTTCATTCCAGCGTTGAAATCCTGCTTCGATTTGATGCCCAGCAGGGTGAGGGAGAAGAAGAGGGCGGCACGAGGGCCAGTGGCGGTGCCCTGCAAGGCAGCCGCCCCCGCGGCAGCAATCCTGCAGCCCAATCAGGTAGCCGGAATTCGCGACATTCAGCATGGTGTGAGGCTGTTGGACCCACGGAAACCGCCAAATACCCCTGGGCTGAGAGGCTTCGGGGCCGCTTCGGTGTCGGTAAGCGAGCGCCGGAGCGTGAAGCGCTCCACCGAAGCTCAAATGCATGCAGGAATTGAAAAGCGGCGTTAGCAGCAGCTCTAGCGCACGGAGGATATAAGCACCTGTCTTCCAGGACCGGGGAAACGCTCGAGGAGCTCAGGGAGGGTGCCGGGCTGCTGCGGGCATCTTCAGCTCTCACGGGAAGCAGGGTGGCCTGCAAAAAGGCGAGTGAGCAGCAAAGGCGAAAATGTGTGACCCTTGGCTGTGCCCCCGCACGGTTGCAGCATAGCTCCACAGCTTGCCGCCTCACCAAAATCGCGAGCAGGGAGGCGGCCTTCAAGGCGCCTGCCCTGCGATGATGATGTTGCTTGGACATCACTCTCGTCAGTGAGGGCGCTACCCCTCACGTCACCCAAGCAAGCGCAGGCATGTTTCCAACGCAATGTTAGACCCCACCAAATACTGGAGGTCCGGCGCGGGACGGCCGAAAAGGACATGTAGTACCGCGGTGTAATGCCGCGCCGCCCATGGCCATCTTATGTGCCATGATCTATCCTCTGGACAGTGTTACGGGCAAGCAGCGGCCGTGGCCATGGCCACGCTGTTGCCACCGAAGCTTGCCAAAAGGGAATGAATAGAAGGTGGGGCAGCTGCACCGGCACCGCAGCGACGGCAGCGGCAGCACAGCGTGCGGCGGGGGGTGCAAGTGGCAGCGAGGCAGCAGCCTACAACGGCTCCAGAACCAACCTGCTCAGGCGGCAGAAGGCACAATGTGTGTCATGAGCAGGGAGCGGCGGCGTAGCAGCTGCCAGGGCTCTTCTGTTGCACCGACACTGGACCGCCTGCAAGGAAGGCGTGGTGGCAGTGGGAGCAGGACCTTAGAAGCGTGCCGGAGGTGGTGCGGGGTTAACATAGAGTTGCAAAAAAAGGCATCTTTCCTCCAAATTAAATGACAAGGTAGGATGCGAGCGCAAAGCCACACTCCGCAGCCGCCTGTGGTGCATGGGTGTGCAGCGGAGGTGGGAGCGGAAAGCTAGACAGGAGGGACGGCATTGTCTTGAGTTTAGCATTCATGAAATGAGGCCTACAGGCTGGGCCAAAATTGCAGCACAGTACAATGCACCAGAAAAAAACAAGGACTGGATTCAAGAGAGGCAGTAACAAGAAACAGCAGCAGCCCGTGCCACTCCTCTCCCACAGCTGTGCAACGGGCGCCGGTGAATTGGGCATGCCGCCGCGCAGAGCGCCAGTGCTCAGGCATCGATCTTGGGCGGCACCGCAAAGCTGTCCCGGATCTTGGTCAGCTTGCCGCCCGATTTCCGCCACTGCAGGCTGTTGCTCTTGACGGCAAGCATGTACAGGCGGTTGCCGGTGGCGGTGGCCGCCACAAGGCGGTGCCTGGTCAGCTCATACAAGTAGTACGGCAGGCCGCCCTTCTCCAGCACCTGCAGCGCAGCCCAGCCAGGCACGGCCCAACCTCAAACACAGGCGTGCAGCCTTAGCAACAGCAGCGCAGGGCAGCGCCTCAGCTACAGCCATCCCAGAAGGGGAAGGGTGCTTCTCGGTGCGGGTTCAGGGCGGGCACTGGTGGGCACAGCCCCCAAGCAACCTGCATGTCCAGCACATCTTCTTCCTGCAGAGGGCTGCCAAACAGCTCCGGCGCAAACCCTGCAGGCCCAGGGCGAGGCAAGCAGGTAGGCAGGCAAGCGTTCAGGGGCGGCGCGAGATTGCATATGCGATTGGGGAGAGCATGGGTAGACAAGCAGGGGGCAGCCACGCGGCCTCCCACCTGCGATGATGTTCTCGGGTGGCGCCAGGTCCCGCACCGTGATGTTGGCGTTGATGCCCACCTCCTTGAAGCGCAGCACCGGGGCCACAACCACCATGAGGCTGCCCTCCTCCCTGCTGCCATACCTGCCATGGAGAGGCGGGGTGGGCCAAGCAGAGCCAAGCAGCAGGGTGGGGCGCTGGATGAAGGACGATACCACGGCGGCTCCAAAGGGAACTAGCGCGGAGCGAGCGTGGACGAGCAGGCCAGGAAGCCACGGTTGCGGCGGGCTGGCTGGCTCACCGCAGGTCGATCTCTGTGCCGCCCAGATCCGCGATGCTCACCGGCACCTCCTCCCACGACTCGGGGACCTGCAGGGCAGGGCCGCACGCCACCGAACGCACCCTAACCGCAGAACACCACTCCAGCTCGGAGCACCGCCTCGCCCCAACGGCCCTGCTGGCACAGGGGGTGGTGGGCCGCACCTTGAAGGAGTACCGCTGGATCTCGCTCCAACCCACGCCATGGCCGCCTGCAGCAGCGTCATGGAACAACAACCGTAACAGCGGGTGCCCACCTCCCGGCAGCTGGCCCGACAGCAGTGCTGCTGTCGCAGTCTAAAATGCAACAGCCACCCGGGCGGGCTCACCGCTCTTGCCCTCGGGCCGAGTGTAAGTCATGTAGCCCTCGGAATCCGGGCCCGTCACGCCAGGAATGCGCCCAGCAATCAGGCCCTGCACCAATACCACACGAGCTGAACAGCAGCGACCCACACCCAGCCACCTCCGTCCGCTCACCCAGCCACCTCCACATCATTTCCGATGCCCACCTGGATCGCCCACGCCGGCGGGCAGGCGACGGCTGCTGCCAGTGCTGCAGCTGTGCCAAGCAGAGTGCGCCTGTCGACCCCAGGTGGAGGTTCTGGCACAGCGTCAGCCGCCCTATCGCCGCCGGCGGGTGCCACGCAGCAGCGACGGCGTGCGGGTAGAGGGGCGGCGGGGCGCGCCGGCTGGGCCAGGGCAGGCCGCATCACCGCCTGAATCTGCATGCTGCAGCGCGCTCGAAGTTGCGTGGCGGGGAGACCAGCACAGCTGTGGGTGAGCTTGCTGGCTGCGTTCGCCAGCAGTCGCTCAGGAGCACGGGCGAAACGTTCAACCCACCGGCTGATACCATCAGTGATAGCTGCATCATGCGGCCATCATGCGATGCCAGGTCGACAAAGCACGAGAGATTTGGGGGGGCCTCCTTCTCCCTAGGGAACGCACATTTCATCATTGTGTCCATAATTTGTTCGTGTGCAAACCCCGGGGAGGCCGATGGGCGGCCTTCTTGAAGAAGCTCTTCTTGCGGGGGTCTCAACCCCCCTCCTTATGCCCTCCAATTGAGCAGAACCTCACCTGAAAAGGGTACGGCGGAGCAGGCCCCCCGCATAAACAGCAGAGCATGTGGAGCAGGTTGCGAAGAAGCAGGAGTAAGCAGGCTCCTCCTCCAGCACCAGAAGCCCGCCAGCCGGATGCTCAGCCTGCAGCACAGGCAGGGAGGGACTCCCAGGAGGAGCCCACACCCTCCCAGCCTCCACCACTGAAAGTGGCTTCGCAGCCGGCCAACCAAACTTTAGCACGGGCTCAATCCATGAGCAAGAAGAAATCCACGCGGTGGCAGGAGGTGCGCTGCTCGCCTGCCGCCCGGCGCCCGTCGGGACCGCCGGGGCGTCCTGTGCCTTTGCTGTTTGTGTGTTCAGTCCTGCAGACAGATTCAGTCTGCAGAAATCCGCAGCTCTGCAAAAGAACGTGCGGCACAGGTTCCCCTCGGTATGGAGCTGCTGCACCCGCCCCTCCCCTCCCCGGTGCAGGCGCTGCGCCAGACCTACCTGCAGGAGCTGACGGGCCCCACCACGCGCGAGCTGCTGGCGGCGGAGGCGCAGAGCGTGCGCTACTGGCGGTCCAACGCGCTGGGCTACTCTGAGCGCGTGGTGGATGGCTTCTACGAGGTGCATGGCGAGTTTGCAGAGGTGTGCCCGCCCGGGCGCTTCCCGCACCTGGCGGCGCTCATGCAGGTGGGTACCTGGGGCAGCCTGGGCCTGCCACTCCAGCCTGCCGGGCTGCTGCGGTGGGCTTGTGCCCGCGGGCCTGGGGGCGCAGGCCTTCCTTGGCTATCGGCAATACGTGGGCCTGGGCTCGGATTGCATGCCTGGCGTCGCATGGCATGCGGGAGGCCCCACGCGCCTACTGCCCGCCCGCCCGCCTGCTCTCCACCACCCCCCACCCCAACCCAACCCGGCGCCGCGCCTCCAGGTGGTGCCCAAGCCGGACAGGCGGCGGGAGGTGGTGCTGGTGGACCGCCGCCACGACCAGCACCTGGCAGCCATGCACGAGGAGGCGGCGGCGGCGGTGGCGCGCTGCGGGCCGGGCGACAGCCTGGCGCGGTTCCAGGCGCTGGCGCACGTGGTGGCAGGGCACATGGGCGGCGCACTGGTGGGTGCCGCGCAAACGGCCCCGGCCTTGGAGGAGCGGCCGGCCGTCGCTGCCCGGGCGCCACCTGGCGCCAGCGCTGCCCTGAGCGCCCTGCTCGCCCGCCGCCCTGCCCGCCCGCCTGCCGCGCAGGACTCGCGGCCCGCCGCGGCGGAGCAGTGGTGCGGCATGATCAACCGGCTCAAGGTGCAGGGTGCGTCTGTGGTGGTGCTCATCGGCCTGCTGCACATGGGCGCCGACCGCCACCGGGCGCTCCTGTACAAGGCGCTGGCAGACGGCCTGGGCCTGCCCTGCCGCATCGTCAAGGGGCGGCGCCTGGAGGGTGAGGCCGCCCCGCCCGCCCGCCCGCCTGCCTGCCCCTGCCCCTGCCCCTGCCGATGCATGGCTGCCCTGCGCTGCAAGTGCCACGCTGCCGCGCCCGCCGGCTGGCTTCTTCCGGTGCCAGGATGACACCGTCCAGGCTGGGCTGCCTGGCGCGGGCGGCGCCCTGCCTGACCCGCCGCCTGTTGGGCCCGCCCACCCGGCGGGTGGTTCCTGCCGTGCAGACAACGACAGCTACGGCGCCAAGGCCATCGTCTGCGTTGACCAGAGAGAGTATTGCGTTGACCTGCTGGCGCGGCCAGGTGGGCTGGGAGGGTGGCGTGGTGGCGCCCGGGGGTGATGCCCGGGCCGGCACGCCCGCTTCCCGGCCCGCCGGCTGCAAGGGTGGGCGGCCACTGCTGTGCCAAGGTGGTGGTGGTGGGCGGGCGGGCGGGGCTGGGGAGGGTGTCCATTTGCGCTGCTGGCTGCCGGCTGGCCCGTGGCCCGCGCCAGGCAGCAGGCGGGAGGGCCGGCGGACTCACGCGAGCCGCCGCCGCGCGTGCGGCTGCAGGGGAGGTGGCGCCGCTTGCTGCTGGCGCCTTCCCGGACGTTAGCGTGCGCAGCGGGCGTGCCTCCTCCTCCTCACGCATGGCTGCCGCCTCGAGCGGGGTGCAGGCAGACAGGTATGCACCACGATATGGGGCTGGCCGCGCTGCTGGCCTCTGCCCGCTGCCCTGTATGCACGCCCGTCACCTGCCTTGCTAATATTGCTGGTGCCGCCGAGTGTCGGTGCTGTGCCTGTTGTTCAGCAGCGCTGACGCGCCCTGGCGCTGCCGCCTGCCGCCGCGCAGCGCGGACGCCGCGGGCGCGGCGCTGGCGGGAGGCTTCAGCAGCCAGCCGCTGCCGTCCCCGGCGCAGCAGCAGGGCGACCCCGCCGCGGGCAGCCTGGTGCCCAGCGTCTCCGCCCCCGCGGCGCAGCTGGATGAGGAGCGGCGGCGGTGGAGCGGCGGCCGCCCGCCGCTGGCAGCGGGCCCGCACGCGCTGCCTCAGCCTCGGCTGACGGCTGAGGAGGTTGCCCTGCTGGCGGCGCTGGATGGCTCGCAGCCGGGGCGCTCCTCGCAGCACCTGACGCAAGCGGCAGCCACGGCGGGTGCAGCGGCGGCGCAGCGGCAGCAGCGCGCGCCGCCGCCAGGCGAGCGGGCGGCACTCGCCGGGGACGGCCCCATGGGGGTGCTGCGGCCGCGCCAGCAGCGCCTGCGGCTGCAGCCGCAGCAGACGCTGCCGCTGCCCGACAGGCAGCGCGGGGCTCTGGATGCGCCAGGCGTGGAGCAGGCCATTGCGGCGGCAGCGGCGGCCATGGGCAGCCGGGCCGCCGACCCCTCCTCCACACCCAGTGCCTCCCCCCTGGGCAGCCGCCACCTCTCCCAGTCCATGTCTCTGGAGCACGCGCTGCACCTGGCGGCGGCCACGGCCATGGGCAGCGGCAGCCGCCTGGTGCACACCAGCGACGAGGGCAGCAGCCTGGTGCGCAGCAGCGACGAGGGCAGCAGCTACAGCGGCAGCCGCGCCGCCTCGTCCACGGGGCGCCCCAGCCGGGCCAGCACCGGGAGGCAGGAGAGCATGGGGCGGTGGGACAGCTCCCCGCTGGCAGACGCCGATGGCGTGCACGCGGCGCGGGCGGGCGGCACGGCAGGCCGGCGCCACAGCAGCAGCAGCAGCATACCAGGTGGGCGTCGGCGTGCCGCCGCCGACCCGCCCGCTCCTGCTTGGCTGGGCAGCGTCTGGCTGCCCGGCGTTGCGGCGGGCTGGCGCCAGCGCTGTGCTGCGCAGCGCATCCCTGAGCGTGGCTTGGGGCTGCCTGCACTAGCTGCTTTCCATGCCCTATCTGGAGATGCTGCTGCTTGATTGTTTTACCAGCAGTAACCAGCCCTGCTGCCCGCACCACCTTGCGTGCAGAGGTGCCTGCGGGCGAGGGCGGGCCGCATGGCGCGGAGAGGCTGCTGGCTGTTGAGGAGGAGCACGCAGAGCTTGGCGTGGGGGCAGCAGCCGCAGCCGCAGGCGCTGGCGCGGCCGACATGTCGAGCCCCTTTGACAGCGCCCCCTCGCCCTTTGCCGCTGCCCTGCCGTTTTTCGACGAGAAGGAGGAGGAGGAGCAGCGGCGGCAAGGGGGGCAGGAGGGGGAGGAGGAGGAGGAGGAGGAGGAGAATGATGAGGGCGTGCACCTGGGCATCGTCAAGACCTCCTTCAGCTTTGGGCGCAGCCACATGGAGTCGTTGGAAGATGAGGAGGCACTGATCGAGGCCGCGCTGCAGCAGGAGCTGGGCCTGGAGGGCGCCGTCGCTGCCGGCGGCGGGCCCCAGCCCGACGCGCCGGTCGGCGGCGGCGGCGCGTCGGCGGGCCCCGACCCGCGCCTGGCGCGCCAGATGGGGCAGCTGCCGCCGCTGCCGCGGCCGCAGCTGCAGACGCAGCGCCAGCACTCGCTGCGCACGCTGGGAGAGTTTGAGGGGGTCAGCACCATCTTTGAGCTGAATGCGCTGCTGGGGGGAGGCGCGCCCATCTCCCCCCACACAGCCGCGCCGCCGGCCGCGGCCACGGCGCCGGCCACGCAGCGCCCGCCCTTTGGCTCCCCGCTGCCCTCCATGCGCGGCAGCGCGGAGGACGCCGGCGGCGCGCCCGCGGCCGCGGCGGCCGGCGGCACCGACGAGGCCGCAGCCATCCGGCAGTCGGGCAGCGCGGCGCTGGAGGCACTGGCAGACCTGCACGCGCGGCAGGCGGCGGCCGCGCAGCAGCAGCAGCAGCAGCGGCAGCGGCCCCAGGTGGTGGAGGGCCTTGCCGCCACGCCGTTCCTCGCGCAGCAGCAGCAGCAGGGCGGCGAGATGGGGCTGAGTGCCAGCAGCGCCTTCACCAGCGCCAGTGGCGCCTTCAACGCCAGCCTGGGCAGCATCAGCATCGAGCTGGGCCCCGCACACCTGGAGGTGGACGACAGCGGCCAGGTGAGCGCCCGCGCAGCAGCACAGCATGCACAGCAGGCACAGCAGCACAGACAGCAGCGCCAAGCGGCTCCTGCCAGGGCCCAGCTCCCGCGAGGGTCCAGGGCAAAGTCGCCCCGTTGGTAGCTCCAGGGGCGTGTCGGGGCGCCCGCCTGCCGGGCCGGCCACCCAGCCGCTGGGGACGCCAGCTGGCAGGCTGCCGCCGACCGCAGGCCAGCGTGCTGCGTTGCTCCCTCCAGCGAGGCTGCGCCTGCGCACGCTCCCACCTCTGCCCGCATCTCTGCCCACCGCCGCCGCCGCCGGATGCCGTCACACCCTGCCTGCAGGCCTTCCTGGTGCAGCCGGTGCGAGCGGCGTCAGACGTGGTGGGCGGCGCGCCGGCGGCGGCGGGAGCCCTCAGCCACCAGGCCTCGGCCGCCAGCGCCTCCAGCGCCGCCAGCGGCGTGTCTGGGCAGGGCTCTCAGGGGTTGGTGGAATTGGTGGAGGCCCTGCGCATGTCAGGGGTACTGAATGGAGGCGCCTCCGTGCTGCGAGGGCTGGCGCCGCCGCCCGGCGGCGCGGCGCCCTCGGCCGGCGGCGCCGGCGGCGCCGGCGGCGCCCCGCGCCGCGGCGGCCCCGCCCAGCGCGCCAACAGCGAGCCGCTGCCGCCGCACGAGGCGCGCGCGGGCGGCGGCGTCAGCGTGGAGCGGCGCTCCACGCAGCAGGCGGCCGTGCCAGTGCTGCACGCGTCGCCCAGCGCCGCGGGCGCCTGGCCGGCGCGCCTCGGCCTGCCCGTCGCTCCCTACGACCGCCGCCGCTCCGTGGACGAAGTGTTGGGCATGGGTAAGCGACGGCAGTGCGCTGGGGTGCATGGGGGTGCCGGGCGGCTGGCTGTGCCTGGCGTCCTGCGCCAGCCAGCCCTCCTCCCGCTGGTGGGCCGCAGGTGGGGCTGTGTGTGTGTGTATGTGCGCTAGGCGCGGGGGCCCTTTGCCAGGCATGCCCACGCCGCCTGCCCCGTTGCCGGCTGCCCCGCTGCAGGCGTCAGCCCCGCGGTACGCCTGTCTGTTCCGATTGAGTGGGAGCGGCTGCAGGCGCTGCGGCGCGGCACCGGCTCGCCGTCGCCCGACCGCAGCCCTGGCGTGTCCACGCGGCGCAGCAACAGCAGCGGCGACCCGTCTGGCATCCCCTTTGGCGGCGCCATCCCTGAGGGCAGCCCCTTTGACCCTGCCCTGCGCCCCGCCCTCGCCTCGCCCTTTGCCAACGACCTGCACGCCGTGTCCACCGGCGGCCTGATGTCGCTGGGCGCGCAGCAGCAGTACGCGCTGCTGTACGGCACGCAGCAGCAGCAGCAGCAGCAGCGGGCGGGCGAGCCGCGCCGCAGCGACAACGCCTCGCAGCCCGGCAGCGGCGAGCGGGGCAGCATGCACTCTGTGGTCTCTGAGGGGCTGGCCAGCCAGCAGGCCTCCATGGCTGGAATCATGCTGGAGGGGCTAGAGGAGTGGGAGATCCAGCCAGACGAGATTGTGCTGGGGCCGCGCATCGGCATCGGCAGGTGCGGCGCCGCCCAGCCCGGCCCGCGCCCCGGCCGCCGCCGGCGCGCCCCGCCAGCGAGCCGCGTGCGTGCCGCTCGTACCGCTCGCGCCGCCCGCCACCTGGCGGCGGCCCGCCGCGCCGCGCCCGCTCTCAGGCCTGCGCTGCCGTGCCTCGCGCACCCCTGTACCGCAGCTTTGGCGAGGTGTACCGCGGCATCTGGCGACAGACAGACGTGGCAGTGAAGCGGCTGCTCGACCAGGAGGTTTCGCCGCAGGTGAGGCGGGGGTGGGTAGGTGTGCCAGTGTGGAGGCATAAGTGTAGGCGTGAGTGGGGACCGCCATGGCGCCTCGCTTGCGCTCCTCCCCAGCACTTTTGCGCCGCCTGCCTGCTCCCGCTACCCGCCATGCCACCGCGCACGGCACCACCTGCCACCTGCCCTGCACCGCCTGCCTGCACCGCGTGACCCCTCTTGTGCGCACCGCCCCCCCTGCAGATGCTGGAGGAGTTCCGGCAGGAGATCAGCATCATGAAGCGCCTGCGCCACCCACACATCGTGCAGTTTGTGAGGCGCCGCGCGGCCGCGCCGCCTGCCGCGCTCACGCCTGCTGGAGGCCTGCCGCTGGCGGCAGCCTCCCCTGCTTGCGCCCGCCGCCGCACCACGGCCGGCGGGCTTCCCTTGCCTGTGCCCCCTGGCCGACCCTGTGTTGCGCCCGCTTGCCCGCCTGCCCCCCTGCGCGCAGCTGGGCGCCGTCACCCAGCCGCCGCACCTGTGCATCGTCACCCAGTTTGTGCCGCGCGGCTCGCTGTTCAAGCTGCTGCACCGCACCCCGGCGTTCAACCCCGACGAGCGGCGGCGCCTGCAGATGGCTCTGGACATTGCTCGCGGCATGGTGGGTGTCAGGTTAAGCCAAGAGGGAGGGCCAGGAGGGCATGCGGGGAGTGCAGGGAGTCAGCCGTGCGTTGTGCCTGCTCAGCCGCTGCATGGGCGCTCGCCGCCCGGCCAGCCAGCGAGCCGCAGATCCGCCCCGCTGCCGCTCACGGCCCGCCTGGCTGCGCCGCACCCCCCTGCCCCTCTGCCCCGCCGCCGCAGAACTTCCTGCACACCTGCAAGCCGCCCATCATCCACCGCGACCTCAAGAGCCCCAACCTGCTGGTGGACAAGGACCTGACTGTGAAGGTGGGGAGGGGAGGCAGCAGCTCCCTCATGGGTTGCAGTGGTTGTGGTGCAACAACCGGGCTGGTGTGGTGGCTGGGTGAGCTGGGCTGGCGCCAACTGCTGCTGGCCCCACATGCGCCGCGCCCCTGAGGACAGGTGTGCGACTTTGGGCTGTCGCGGGCGCGGCGCTCCACCATGCTGAGCACCAAGAGCCAGGCTGGCACGCCAGAGTGGACGGCGCCAGGTCTGCGCCCCGCCCGCGCCCCGCCCCTGCCGCGGATCGGATGTGGTGCAGCTACCTGGCACCAGGCAGTGCACAGGCCTCGATCCTGCACGGCGGCTGCGCTCCACTGCACGTCACTGGCACGCGCCGCCGCCGCTGCCATGGTGCTGCAGAGGTGCTGCGCAGCCAGCCGTACAACGAAAAGTGCGACGTGTACAGTTACGGCGTGATCCTGTGAGCGGGAGTGGGGATGCTCCGCCGGGACTGCGCTGTGCCGTGCACATCGGCGCGCTGCGCTGCACCCTGCTGGGCGCACGCTGCGCTGCGTTGCGCGCTGCTGCGCTGCGCTGCGCTGTGCCGTGCCGTGGCTGATGTGCCCTGCGCTCCGCTGCCGCCTGCCTGCCCGCCTGCCTGCCTGCCTGCCTGCCTGCCTTTCTCCAGGTGGGAGCTGATGACCAATGAGGAGCCCTGGCACGACAAGTCGGCGATGCAGGTGGTGGGCGCGGTGGGGTGGAACGACGAGCGGCTGGGCACGCCAGAGGAGGGGCCGCCCGCCATACGAGAACTCATAGATGCATGCTTCGGCGAGCCGGCGGGGCGCCAGTCCTTCAGGTGGGCCGGCAGGCGATGTGGTGAGGGCAGGGAGGGGGAGACAGAGCGGGCGGGGCGGGCGCGGTGCGCGGGCGGTGTGTGTGGTGGCTGCCGGGGTGGACAGCTCACTCGCGAGCTGGAGGGCGGCCCTCACCCTGCGCCAGCCCGACTCTGTGCCAGCCCGCGCCCTGCTCCCGGCCCACTCGCGGCCCCGCACCCCCGCGTCTGCGCCTGCAGCGAGATCATCCCAATGCTCAAAGGCATGATCAAGGCGATGGGGCCGCCCGCCGGGTATGAGCACCACTAGGACGCCGCTCAGCTGCCCACCCCTTCCAGGCGCAGCGCCATACCTGCTGCACGGGGGTTGGGCAGCGTGTCACACCCCTCATGCATTCAAAACCCTCGCACATCAACCCCC